CGAATTTTTCTTTTTTCAATGAAATGAGAGTCAATAAAAATCTGAAAAAATTACAATGCCTACTTTTAACTATATTGAATTTATTGGCAATTTTTATTTCGTTCATACTCACATCGATTGAGTACCAAAAAAGTTTAAAAATTCGAATCGCTTAGAATCCTCGTGTTTAACCTCTAAAAATCCCATTTCGGCACGAAATCAAATCAACTTTTTGCATTAAATCGACACTTTTTTCCTAGTTCTATTACCATTTTCTATTTATTAGAAGTTGAAACCTTCCTCTAAACCCAAAATTAATCATTTTTTTCCACTTTTTTTTTCACAAATGATAAAATAACACGGGCGGCGCCGTGCTAACCGAGCCAGTTGACTCGGTCGGCGGGCGAGCGCCAGTCCAGGAGGGTTAACAATGCTATCAATGTGCTCCTTAAATATCCTCGTTATTTATGAGGAATTGTGAATTTGAACTATGTAATGTCACTCTTTCATTAATTAACAATCCCTACAGGACGTTCACCGCAGTCTATAGATTATGCATGAATTTTTTTCCGGATTTTTTTCCCCTTTCGAAAATATTCACATCAAACAACTGCATATATGAATTCATGCATAAAGTATCGATTATAATTATAAATAATTTAAAATGAAATATAGGAAATTTTCGGAAACATTCATATGTAATCTAAATGTCATTACGAGCATTCTATATAAATTGGAGATTAATACCATCATTTATCTTTCGATTGGAATAGCTCAATGGGGACGCACGATGGTGTGAGGATTGTGAGTGTAATTGCATTCACCCAAAAAAACAAGCTTTGTTTTGAGGCTTACGCTCTTAAATTGACACTTCAAATCAAGACTTAAATTCTCAAATCGAAACCTTGCAAATTCTCAACTTGATACTTTGAAAGTCTCAAATTAAGACCCTCATATGTAACATAGATCCTCAAAATAACATGTTTGAAACTTTAAAATAGCATTTTGTTGTTTTTTTTAAATTGAGATCTCAAAGTCAAATTGGGACTTTCGGAACTCTCAACTTGAGAATTTCAAGCTTCAAATGAAGACTTTGGAAAATCTTATTTTCAAACCTTCAAAATCTTAAAATAAGGCATTATTTTTTAAGTGTATATCACTCGTCCCTGAAAGGAATTTTTCGGTTCACTTTCATTGTTGGGATATATTTTTCAATACTTTTATAAATTCTCCTTAGTGGACGAATCGGTGTTCCTGGGACTGGTCCCAACCGACGTCGAGAATACGCCCCCAGGGGGTGATGACCATTACAGATGATCTATTTTACCCGAATCTCCTTCAGAAAATACATGAAAGAGCAAAAACTCGTCATCCAAGAACATCTACCTAAAATCCTTTAAAAAAATCTTTATTTATAAATTGAGAACAAAAATGTGGAACGAAGAATATTTTTTACTTACATCATTCTCTTGAAAACACCAGAAATCAAAAACAAAATCGATTATTAATTGACACGTGGTAATGATACCCATCAAGGAAACCTCCATCAAATAATAATTAGTGAATATGAAATAGTGATCGATCAATATCCCCAACTTGATTACAATCCCTGGGAGTTTTTCCACCAATCAGTAAATGATGCCCAAATAATTTGACATTTGTGACAATCAACTTGGTACTAATGAGATTTGCATATCAAACGTTCAGCGTCATCCATATTTAATGACAATCAGGTTCCTTCACGCCCTTGAATAAATATCCCCGAAAAAGCGTGATCCTTTAATAATCTCTCTGTATTATAAAAATCCAAATCGACGTCTGGCAATGAAAATTTGGTACTCGAAATGAAGACTCCACAATTGAGGGTCGCAAAGGTCAAAATAAGGGTTATGAGGTTGGATTTTTTTGGGTTCTACGTTTGTGACCTTGCGAACCCTTGGGGCCTATAAAGTCATAAGGGCCATAAGGGTTAAATTAAAGTTATATGGGTCAGATTAAGGATACACCAAGGCTACAAAGTTATGAAGGTCAGAATAACGGTCCTAAAGGGTCAGAATAAGGGTCACAAGGGTCAGATTTAGGGTCACGAGGGGTATAATGAGGGTCAGATTAAAGGTCACAGAGATCAGATTAAGGGTCACACGGGTCAGAATAAGGATAAGGGTGGTGGCGAGCGAAGCGAGCAGGGGTTTTAACCCCCTAGTCAAATGATAGAAGTTTGTAGAACAGATATCAAAGATCAACGAAGGCATATTTTATAAATTCCATTAATTCATCTTTTCCATGATTCACTGATAAATTTTTTTGTTCCGATAAAAAAAAGTAACAAAAAATCTTTATCCATTTATCGTACACTGATAGTAGTATCGCATCCAGCCTGTCAGATACTCCAGGCTAATATGAGAGAACGATAAATATTTGGATCGCAAACTGTCCGTTGAAAATTGGTAACAATTTCCGGGATAAAATGTTAGAGTTGACAGGTGGTACTGGGTTATAGGTAGAGATATCATATATAAACTACACCACATTAAATCTCTAAAATATACATTTCATATATTTCAAATGGATGTATAAAATTCACATGAGAGTGAATTTCATCAGTGTATGCAAGTTTATACACAAAATGACGTACGAATGAACACGAAATCCTTCGCGTCCGGCAATTGAACGGTTCGATAATAATTTACGTAATGAGGACGCGGGATCTGCGTGGCGCACAATTGGCATGCAACCCCCTGCCATGGTGAATGGCCCCACATTGACGAATATTCCCTGAGTGACTGCAACCACATCTGCATTAGGGTTAAACTGCCACATATGCACATACGTAAGTGCATTATAGTCACCCTCGTGCTGCTACTATTATCTTCCCCTGCATACCTCGATTAAATCGGAGACCGTCCATTAAAAAAAAAAGCAAAAAAATCCATACATTCTTCCTATTTTCCTATTGTTTATTCTCTTATGCTTGTCTTACAACAAAGTTAATTCAAATGGAAATATTCAAGGTTGCTGTTCAGTAAAAAAGAAAAATGAAGAGAATTCTAAGAAACTTCTTACTTCGCCGGAAGGTGAAAATAACTCATCGAACTGAGGGTCGAATCACGCGATTCGACTCCACCCACCCCATCATATGGACTACAACCGCGTTATAGGCCATTCTTGCCAGAATTTTCAACTCAATGCAAAAATAATACCATAAGTTTTATTGACATTTTAACACAGACATCTGCGTGTCAACGTATAGTACAGTTTATTGTTTTCATGCAGAATGACGTATAAAGTCGCCGCGGAAATAACCAATGTGTGTCATAGTGCCATAATACTTCTGAGTAAAGAGCAGTGGATCGATGGATAATCCTAGTAATGGATATTTTTTCCTGGTTCTTTCGTAAATGAATATTCGAAACCTTGTTAGAGGCAAAAAATTGGATCATTCTGTTTTTAAACAAAGAATTAACTATGTGAAATGCCATTCCTCATTGCTTACCTGTTTCACATGATGAAATGTATCGGCTATGAAATACATATTGCAGTATTATTGGTCCTCCATACTCACTGACATTTATAGCAGTTCTGGAGTTTAAATGTTCCAAATTTCTGAAATGCACGAAGTTTTTCATCTCCCCACTGAATTAACTGTGCAAATAAAATTATATTTATCCAGAATTAACGACTATCCAATCACTTGAACGATGAAACTTTATTCACCTTATGGTATTATCGATCACATGTGGTGCACTGAATGCTGTCATAAATTCATGCATGCAACAGCCTTGACCCACATCACACTAACCCAGGTAGATGTGGAGCAATGGCCAGTCTCAATGTTCAATTATTTTTGCAGGAGTAATTTCTCTCGTCATTTAGCTTCCGAATTGTATTTGTCAAATCTGAAATTTCCATTTTTTTTTGTGTGACGATGACTAATTTTGGTCTCAGGAGTTCGAATAGTTTTTTTTTTCAAATTTAGTTTTTCGACGATTATTCAAAAAATGATCATCGAAATCTTTTCAATTATGGCTTAAAGTATTCGTTTGGGTGGTATCTCGGTCCAGTTCGAAGATAGTGGCGATCGAATCATTTGCTTTGAAATTATAGCCGTAAAAAGCATTTAATCGGGGTTTAATCATGATTTAGTCAGGGTTTAGTCAGATTTTAGTCGGAGTTTAGTCGGAGGTTAATCAGGGTTTAACCAAGGTTTCGTCAAGGTTTAATCAATATTCAGTGGAAGTTTAAACCAATTCAATTTTAATTTAATCGGAAACATAAAATTTAAATAATTTACGTACGACCGAGGAGATATCAACATTGATGCATCAGGAGCATGAACTCTTGGGATATCAAATTTTACATTCATTTTGTTTTCACTCAATCTGTCTAATTTAAAATAAATTCAGTTCACTAAAAAATGTTATCTCAAATTGTCTTAAAAAAAAAACCATTGAATTTCCCTGAGGTTAAACATCAGGAAGGATCCCTAATAATCTGAGATTAATGACAGAAAACCGAATAGGTACTTGTTTGTTTTAATTCGATTAATCCATTCGGAAGCAAATTGCTAATTTTTAGCAAAAAAACTATACTTAATTCAGGCCTGTGCAATGGACCACGTGTTTCTCTGGTGAAAGCTTTTCAGGTACTTTTTCAATTTTTTTTTCCTTTTTTTGTATTGTATGGTCAACTCTATGTGTGTGGCATGCCGGAACATTGGTGATTCGATACTGGGGGTAGACAAGGTGACAGACGAGATAGGAGCGATTTTTGCCTGTAATTACACGCTGACTCGCGGCTTTGCACCCCCCAAAGGGTTCGTCAAAATGCCCTGTTATTTCCGCTGCCTTTTGTACGGTCGATCATCACCTCGGCTAGCGCCCTCATTTTTCATATCCGCTTCTGTTTACCCATGTACATTTTTATTCCGGGAAAGAGCTGATAAAAATAAAATAAGTAATTTGATTAAACTAGAAAATTCACTGGAACTAAATCTAATAAAATCAAAATGAATTGATTCGCAGGTGAAACAACGAAGCTGAGGCACTTCAGGCACTTGGATACACGATCCCAGCACTTCAGTGTAGATGAATCATTGGTGAGTGCCTTATTGTTTATTCCAGGGCGGGTTTTATTCAATTTACTCATGACCTACTACAACTCAAATCCTGACTACGACAATTGTGGCAGGACTTTATATCGAATTTATTCGGTTTGAAATATTTAAAATGTCAAACACTCTACGGAGTTTATAAAACATCAGGCCTCAGAAGTAACTAGCTCTCAGACGTCTTATTTCGGGATCGTCAAAAAGTACATTCATGCATTATGCGGTGGCTTGATGAGATCTTCTTCTCGTATTTGACTACGTACAGTTTAATTCGAATTTATTTATTTATGATTCAATTTAACGGTTTTCCTATTTTTTTTTTTTCGTTCGCAGACGCGGGATGATAAACACAACCACAAACCTGTATTTTCGGATTGTTCGGCTTATGCACCAGTTGTTAAGGAAGAAGAGCCAGCAGGTACCATGGTAATTCAGGTTCATGCGGAGGATAGAGATCCACCCGATGAAGGAGGTAATTTAAGGATCAATTCATTGTTTGGACAATAATTGTCAAATGTTTTACATTCGATTTTCATGTTCGACAATGAAAAAGTCGTATGCCAATTCAAACAAATATCCAAGTCATCTTCATAGAGATGAAAAGTTTCTAGTTTCCTGTAAACATTGTTGTACTGGAATCTAGCGTGAAAAAATCTTCGAAATAAGCGGAATTTCCACCTAGTTTGAGAAAATTTTCCGTATAAATTAGAAAAGAAAAGTTCTAATTTTCTAATTTTCCCGCAAATCTCGTATAATTGTACTCAAATTAAGACACATTTCCTGTCAGGTGAAAGAAACTCTGGCTCTAAAATTTATATTTTTTTTTCATCAAGAACATCTGAATATTGAGCGTCATTCAAGTGACATTTTGCACAAACTTATTATTTTTTTAAGCATTCATTGTTTATAAATAAATGATTGAAATTATTTAAACTTTCGGAAACCTTATTTTTTAGAAATAAAATCGGTTACTGGTAAAATTCTGAATATGATTAAATTTGTTCAAACATTGTTTGTTTATAAATTACTTATAGAAAATGCTTGTAATTTTGAAAAATTGCTATTTTTAAATTATTTTATTGATCTATTTCCAAGAGTAAACTTTCTATTTTTTTTCAGATTGTTAAAATGTTATCTAACGGTTATAATATCGAGATTCTAATTCAGACCTGCAAAGTTTAAATAATAATATCAATAAAATGTCTGGAAACTTCGGGTCAAATGGGGGTCAAATGAAGGCTCTCATGTTCGACCACAATAGTAGAAAAGCATTTCACTGGAGACAAAATAGCCAAAGTACTAGGGTATCTTTAAGTGCATTTTCATTTTTGATGATTTACCAGTTCTAAAAGTAATCTACTTATGTTCATAAATCCTTCGTTATTCAACGTATTTTACCTTATACCTTGACTCAATTAACGTTTAATTATTCTAGAATTCTTTAGACGTTAGACTGTTATTAGTTTAAGAAAACCACGATTCTTAATTTGAAATAAGTAGGTTTTGGGTACTGAATTTTTGTGATTTTTCATCTGAAATAAAATAACTAGTTTCTTATTTTTATTACAATGCCTCCTAGAAGCATGAGTTTCTCAAAATTGGTAACTTGGTTCTGGAAAGTAGAAACTTTCTTTTCTCTGTGTGTGTCCAGTTGAGTTCATGCCAAATATGTGGGCGTCTGCATAAAATTGTATATTTTGTCATTCCGGCCGTAAGGCAGCGTTTCACGGACGCGGAGTGAAGCTTCGCTCCGCGTCCGTGAATCTCTGCCTACGGCCGTCATGACAAAATGACAAAAAACTTTTTCATCACACTGTGGCGAAAAGTGAACTTTTCGGCACGCTCCGCGTGCCTAAAAGTCCAATTTCCGCCACATTGTGATGAAAAATATTGTTTGTAACTCGTGAAAAAATGTTTTTTAGCTCGTGGGCTCGTGGGGTTTATATCACTATATGTGTGGTAGCTAAGCTATGCAGGAAATCTGAACGGGAATAATATAGTTGAAAAATTCGAATATTGAAATTTAAAAAAATGTTGAACCTTTGGATGTAATGAAAATGCTTATGGAATTATTATGAACAATAAATTTATATGCACATTTAAAAAAAAGTTGAAGAATAATGTTTTAAAAAACAAAAACAAACCAAAAAATTATGAATTTCAACAGCGGACAGTTCATTCCGAAGATGTTTATTTCCACACTTGGAAAATGGGACTAATTTCACTCTTAGATGCACCTAATTTCTTGAAGCTTACAACGTGAATTTTTCATTGAGCAAGTTTTTGAACATCATTTTTCAAATTTTTTGTGCCGGTTAGGTGTATGTCGAAGAATAATAACTCGTGGTTTGGCAGAATAAAGGTGTTGTATTTAGCACGCTAGATATGTTTACATCGAGTTTGAAAATCGGACCGACACTCGACTGATTTATTTGGTCGGGAGCGTGCGGGTTTGAATACCTTTTGTTATGGAAGGTTCAAGAATTGTCCAGAAATTTCGAGTGGATATAGTAGAATATTCAAGACGCCTTAACTAAATTTCGAAATAATAATTCGTTTATGGCTCGCGTCACATTGTTCTCAAATCGCATCATAATTAAGGCGGACATTAACTCCTTTTTAAAAAATGAATGAATAACTTATGATCAAAAATAATATATATAAATCACTAGCCAATCATGTGCGCGGAAAGCGCGCGCCCCCTTGCCTAGTCATTGAAAACTGGATAATAGTTCAAATCTACTTGAACCATTTTATCACTTCGCTACACTGTTAGAAAATTACTCATGAAATTTCAAGTAAAAAAACTTGAACTTTTTTACAACGACAAAGTACCATGAAATTTCTATACTATATTTCTTCATTGACGAATCAGTTAATTTCTTGAATATTCAAGCAATTCTCGATTTTCAGGTTCATACGGCCCTGAAAAACCGTGAAAATTTGAAAAATTCAGACAACCTTTTCGAATACACAATCTATTAAAAATTGAATTGTATATGATGTTCAATTTTCACGGTGGGTGTGGAAATTCAAGCTTTCATTGACAAATCAATGATTATTCAACATGAAAACCCCACTTTTCTTGAATTTTCAAGATGAATGAGAAATTTATTGAACGCTTTCATTTGAAATTGAATTCAGCATCACAACATCGAAAATTCAGATGACGCCGTGACTGAAATTTCAAGAAATTTCTAACAGTGCACTGATTTTTGTCAACAAAAAAAGAGTTCTAGAAAGAATTTTGTCATTTCCTTTAGATTCCTAGATAAATAATTGAGGACTTGTCTGGTACTAATATTCTCATTCATTACTTCAGGGACAATAACATATAGCTTTGTGACTGCACCTGGTGAAAAGCTCAAGTTTGAAATAAACAACGTAACCGGTTTCATAAAAACAACCCAAATGCTCGACAGAGATGAGCCAGCACGCGAGAAGGAAGCCTATTTAACTGTTTTAGCAACAGACAATGGACGTCCCCAATTGGATGACGTTTGTACCTTTAAAGTCACCATTGAGGATGTCAATGATAATTCGCCAGTATTCGACAAAGTGGTAAGTCATTACAATCCAACCCTCTAATTAAAAAGTTACCTCTCATTGCGGTACACAAAATACTATCAAAGTTTTTCTCTTCTTACGCTTTTGAGATGTGGCTATTAATCAAATTTTGTGCTTTTCAACATTTCTCTCTCTGAAATCAGGTCTCACGGGGATATTCAATATACAAGGTTGGTCTACAACTTTCGGTGTGATGGTTACTGTCATTGTCCCATTTACATTTATTTATTTTCAATTGTCTCTCTGATTTTTATTTATTCATCATATACAAAATTATAAATAATGAATATACAATTTCGTTGAGAATATTGAGCACAGGATTGAACCGAAAGTTGTTGATGTCATTTCGAGTGTGAGAACAATTGCATGCAACTGTCGTTGAATAAATCATCAGTTTATTACCCAGTGTATCAAATTTCCCATTAGCATTCATTTAATTCTTGCTACGTTTTTGTCTAATTAAAGGTATACACGGAATCAGTACCGCAAGATTTGCGAATAGATCACGAAGTAATGAGGGTATCAGCAACCGATATCGACGATGGTAATAATTCGGTAGTACGTTACAGCATATCATCAAAACGCCCAGAAGACAGTGGATATTTTCGAATAGACGAAAAAACTGGTGTAATATTCCTAAACCAAACAATCGACGTAAGAAATAACACTATCATAAAGATTGCAATTTAATCCACCCCCTCATTGGCATAATTTTCACATAATCATTTTATTTCTCCCCAGCGAGATCCAGAGTACAAATTCCGTTTGATAGCGAGAGCCGAGGATCTTGGTAAAGAGCCCCGTGGAAATGACATAGATTTGGACATTCGCGTTGTTGAATCACACAAGAAAGCACCAGCATTTCTACCACGATCCCTTGAACCCATTCGTATACGTGAAAACTTCAGTGACTTTGATGCAACGATTGTACGTCTGGAGGGAGTTTCAAACATAAATGACAGTCCAGATTTACTATTTGAACTTTTGCCTGGTAGAACAGAACAAACAAACAAAGGTAATACCTTCAGATTGGAGTCATCAAAAAATACAGCTGACATTAAACTCGCTCAACATTTGGATTATGAGAGTAATACTGAGTATACATTGATCGTTCGTGTACAAAATAAGTATAATTTAGCTGCTGAAACTGTCGTTAACATTGAAGTACTCGATGTTAATGATAATATACCAGTATTTCGTGAAATGAAAAAGGGTAGTGTTCTTGAGAATGAACCGGCTGGTGTGCCTGTTATGCAAGTACGTGCCATTGATGCTGATGGTACATCAGCACACAATCAGGTCACTTATTATCTCAGTAATTTTCAAAACCACTTTGCCATTGACAAAAATACTGGTAACATAACAACGAAGACTGTATTCGATAGAGAAGCGGAGGATACGTACAATGTTAAAGTAATAGCAATCGATAATTCACCCAGTGCCCTATTCAAGAGTGGTGAGCCCAACAAAGGTGAGCAAGATTTTAGAATTGAAATTGCTGACAAAAATGACAATCCACCGCGTTTCACACAGCCCGTCTACACAGCCAATGCAATACTCGAGAATGCCAACATAAATGCTCTAGTTACCGAAGTTAAAGCGCTGGATGAGGACACAGCTAGTCCCGTTATTTACAGTATAATATCTGGCAACACTGATGATAGCTTCTACATCGAGGGTACAACCGGTAAAATACGTGTCAATCGACCCCTTGATTACGAAAAAATAACCGAGTATAATTTAACTGTTCGTGCATTTGACGGTGTATTCGACGATGACGCTATGGTTAAAATATTCATTGAAAATGTTAATGATAATCCACCAGTTTTCGAAGAATTTGACATGTATCCAACGATTGAAGAGGAAAAACTTGTTGACGGATGTATAACAACGGTGAAAGCTTATGATCCCGATATAAAAGATAGAAATGCAGATCAGCGTATTGCTTACTTCATCGTTAAAGAGGATCAAAAACCACTGATTGGCATTGACAAATCTGGCTGCATGACACTGAAGAAACCGCTGGACAGAGATCCTCCAAATGGATATCCAATGTGGTCGGTAATTGTTCTGGCTATGGACGATGATGGCTCACCGAAGGCACTCCACGGCCATGTTACTATCAACATAACGCTCATCGATATAAATGACAATGCCCCATTTTTAGATATGCAACAGCCAGTGGTTTGGTACGAAAATGAACACCCTGGTAATATAACTAGACTCAAAGCCAGAGACTGGGACTCCGACGATAATGGCCCACCATTCAAATTCAGCATTGATCTGAATACTGCTGACGAAGTGATAACAAGTAAATTTGCCATTATTGGTGACGATCTTCAGGCTAAAGTGATGTTTGATCGGGAGGAGAGAAAAAGTTATAATATACCAATTGCTATAAGTGACAGTGGAATTCCCACCATGACTGGCACATCGACACTTACAGTTGTCATTGGTGATCAGAATGACAATGCGATGGAGGAGGGATCGAGTTCAATATTTGTGTATAATTACAAAGGTATGGCTCCAGACACGGAAATTGGTAGGGTGTATGTCAATGATCCTGATGATTGGGATTTGCCGGACAAAACATTCAACTGGTATGGACAGAGCCATGGTGGTTTTCGTTTGAATCCAACAAATGGTATGATAACGCTTCTCTCAGGGATTAAAAACGGTACATTTTTACTTAAATTCAAAGTCACTGAGGAGAGTCAACTTATTGCACTACATGAGGTAGACGCTTACGTCAATGTTACGGTTAAGGAGATACCTGAAGAGGCGGTTATGGAGTCTGGATCAATAAGACTGTACGGAGTTACTGCTGAGGAGTTTGTAACACCTAATGACGCAGGTATCAGTAAAAAGGGTATCTTTCAGGAGAGATTTGCAACATTGTTGAATAATACCATCGAAAATGTCGATGTATTCACTGTACTTCATTCCCCACATTACAATAATAAGAGTCTACTCGATGTGAGATTTTCAGCGCACGGAAGCCCTTACTATGCACCTGAGAAATTAAACACAATTGTCGCTCAGAATTCTAAAGAAATTTCCGAGGAACTCGGCATTGATATTATGCTTATCAACATTGATGAGTGCTTGTTTGAAAGGACTCACTGCAACAATTCTTGCCGTAGTGATTTGAATATAGATACAGTGCCATATGCTGTTTATACAAATACAAGTTCATTCGTTGGAGTGCGTGCTGTTGTTGATCCAGTGTGTATGTGCCACGTGGCTAAGCCAATAATGTGCCTCAACGGTGGAACACCACTGCTCGACCGCTGTGAGTGCCCTCCAGGTCTAGAGGGGCCACGTTGTGAATTACTTGGAATTGGATTTCATGGTGATGGATGGGCTGTTATGCCACCACCTGGACAGGCGTGTGATGACTCTCACTTGGGGCTTGAATTAATGCCATACGTTGATGATGGTCTTGTATTTTATTTTGGACCTATGAGTTACAGTAAATTACTTGGGGTACAGGATTTTATGGCACTAGAAATACGCAATGGTTTTGCTGTACTTCATGTGGATTATGGAAGTGGTACAGTGTCACTTGATCAAACAAAGATTAAATTAACTGATGGGAAAAGTCACAGGGTCGATGTGTATTGGACAAAGACAACTATTGAAATGAAAGTCGATAATTGTGGAATTTCTGCGTGTATGCTTCTGACAGCACCAGTTGGGCCAAATGAATTTTTGAATGTCAATAGTCCACTACAGATTGGTGGAACGTTTACGAATTTAAAGGAGATGGCGCGTTTGTTTGGATGGAGCTATGATCCTGTTGACAGAGGATTTTCAGGATGTATTAGGAATATGACAATCAATAGCAATACGTATAATCTTGGTAGGCCAGCATTATCGAAAAACGCTGATCCAGGCTGTGGTCGTGGTATGGCGAAAGCAGTCTCTTTTAGAATTGATTCATATTTCCTAGTTGCTATATTAGTTTGTGTTGCTATTCTGCTGATACTGCTGCTGGCGGTTGTTGTACATAGGAGAAAGCGTGATGATTTGTACAAGGATATGGATGACATAAGGGAAAACATCATCAATTATGAGGATGAGGGGGGTGGTGAAGTTGATACGGGATACGATTTGAATGTTTTAAGGCGTATTTATGATGCACCACCTATTGATTCGAAAATTGCACCGTCTGCACACCAAGGACGAGGTGAATATTATCAACTTATCTGTCATTCTCGATGTCACATGTTAGTTATTTTTCAATGGATTTTTTCATTGGTTTTTTCAGCACCTGATGAAGTGCCAGATATTTGTGGATTCTTAGACAGTAAGAAGGAGAGCTGTGACAAAGATCCAGACACCAATCCTTTCGACGATGTCAGGCATTATGCTTATGAGGGAGAAGGGAACTCCGATGGATCTTTGTCTTCATTAGCATCATGTATGTATTGGTTTTACTCTTCTGAAGGAATTGTTGGAATCATTGTTGATCTCCACCAAGTGAAAATTATGGAGTTTGCTTAATATCTACCCGAAAGAAAATTCTTGAACATCTCAATATCATTTGTATTTATTCCACAAAAGACGAAAATAGACGCTTAAGGGGAGACTGGTATGAAATTTCTGACGCATTGAAAATCGATTATACAGGGTGACGTCAGCACCTTGTTTACAAATTGTGAGAAAATATAGAATAGAAAATCAGTAATTGAATGGCATAAGAATTATGAAATTACGATAATAAATTTTTGAATAGTGAGCATTAGAATTTTTCAATGATTGACCCAATAACATCATGGGAGGCTCCCACCATGTCACCATGATTGAAAATGTCGCGATGATTTTAGCAACTTTATGCGCGATAGTTTGAGCAATGTTCATTGCAGCCATGAATCGATAATTTTATCAACAACATGATGAGCCATATGAACTATCATATCAAGTCTCATTGACAACTGCGTCATCGTTTACCATCATGGCGTTACCCAATCGCAATGTAATTGGCTGAATTTAGTAATTTTTGTACTATTGAATTTTCGATTTTCCATTCTATATCTGCCTGAAATATGTAAAGAAACTGCTGCCGTCACCCTGTATATATCTAAAAATGAATAATCTCTCTTTATTATAAAAATCCAAATCGACTTCTGGTGATAAAAATTTGGGACTCGAATTTAAAACTTCAAAATTAGGGGTCATAAGGGTCAAAATAAGAGCCGCGGGGGTCATATGGGGGTTGGCGAGCGTAGCGAGTAGGGGTGTAACAAAAAAATTAATTGTTTATTGTTCGTTAACTCCGTGAGCGGGTTGAATAAAAAAGTGTAAAATAACAATTACGAATTAGTTTTTTGAAATTTGACTCCTACATAGCTAATTCCATTTTGTCTCTATATTATAAAAATCAAAATCGACTTCTGGTGATAAATATTTGACACTCGAAATTAAGACTCCGAAATTGATGGTCATGAGGGTCACGAGGGTCAATATAAGGGCCATGAGGTTCAAAATAATGATTACAAGAGTCAAAATGAGGTTCACGAGGGTTACATTAAGGATCACAAGCGTCAGATTAAGGGCCCAAATAGGGATAACAAGAGTACGATTAAGGGTTTAAATAAGTGTCACAAGGATCACATTAAGGATTACAGGGTCAGAGTAAGGGTCCAAATAAGAAACATAGGGGTCAAAAACCAAGGGTCAGAAGCTTAAGGTCACAAGGGTCAGAATAAGGATCATGGGGGACTATTTTTGATAAATTATCCCTCAACTCATAGAAACTGATTGAAATCAATTGTTTGGTTACATTTTGACTGAATCCAACCGTCGGTACACTACATAAGGCTCGATAAACAGATTAGTTGTTCGAGCACTCCGGATAAATGTCATTTGAGGAATTTAATGCACTCTGTGTAATTCATATGAATATTGTAATTCGTGCAGAAATGACTGCACTTTGAGAGGAAAACAATGGAAATGGATTTCGATGCCTTTAAATATTTAGTCCTTCGAAATTATGCCGCACGGGTGCTCCAAATTCGGCTGTTTGGGTCTCATTCGAAAACTGCTGCCACCACGGCATAATCGAATTTCAATGTAGGAGAAATCTCATTCCAATATCCCGCCATTTAAAACTCATAGTAGTCTCTTCTCAATCCCCAAACGATATTTTATCAACAGAAAAAAAAGGCAAAAAATTCAGGCAATGAAAAGTAAAATAAAATTCATAGCAGAAGGAAAAAAGATCAAATAATTGTTCACAAGAGTTTAAATAAGTTTTTGTTCTCCATTAAAAAATTGTTTCAACAGTTTAAGTTGTTTCATCATACGATCTTTCCTCACATTTGTTTTCTTTTTGTATCCAGGTACTGATGATGGAGACTTGAAGTTCAACTATCTCTCCAACTTCGGCCCGAGGTTTAGAAAATTAGCCGATATGTACGGCGAAGAGCCGAGCGATGAAGAAAGCGATGGTGTAGAAGAGCGTGAAAGTGAAAGTTGGTGTTAATGCGCTGTTGTCCCCTTGTGTATCAATAATATGAGGGCAATAAATGAACTGTTCAATTACAGATTATGGAAGAACGTAGTTTCCACTATGAACAATTGTTAGTTGCAAGATATCGATCTTGCTTGTACTTAAAAGAAAAACGCAGCTAATTCCAGGCTGACGCCTGCAAGAATTATATTGAAAAAGAGACGAAACATGTGTTAAAAGTGAAATACGATAATCGGATTTGACTTTCGTAACGCCAAAGAATGAGACACGAAGGATGCTCAGAGAACGGAGAATTAACGTTAATATGGTATTTAAAAATTTCTCTGAGACTCGTCGATTTAACAGGGACTCTGAATACTTTTCTACAATGAAAGTCAGACGTTTATGATTTTTTCTCGTCGTTATGACATTTTTTAAATAATCGTTTTCGTTTCGCTAATGACCGTAGGAAAATATCCAGAATTATCCCCAGACAGAAAATCGCAGGGAGTGGGAATCTTTGAAGACCGTGAAGAGCAGATTAACACATATCAGATTTAAAACGATTTAATGGGTGATTGTGGCTGAATTAGTCTCAATTATTCAATTAACCTGAATCCGAAAAATACTTTATTGGGAAAAAGAGATTGGAGATAATTGAATTGGATTGGATTAATCAATTAAATACGAAAATTTGATAAAACAAACCATCAAATACATATTTTTCCATTTTTTGGAAAGAATCTGCATCGCTAAATTTTTAGTCCCTTATCTCCTTTCTATTATTGATTATTTATCAAAATGGAAAAATAAACATTCTTCACCCAATTTGCATGTTGAAATTAAAAAATCCATGAAAAGCCCCAATTTAGATGTACACTGACGCTCTTGCACAAAAATTCATTGCATATATTTTTTTTTGTCAAGCTGCAGCATCAAGTTGTAGAACTAATAATTGTCAGTGATAGGACATGAATGCGAAACTGTGTTATGCATAAAAATGACTGAATCGCATACACCAGATTAATCATACTATATATAAATCGTATATATTTCCTTGTTTACTTGTCATTTATAGCAAAAGATATTTTCTTTTCCTCTATTTTTTATGAATTTATCAGTTAACAGAAAACAGGATAGTATTTGACTGAATTTCAAAATATAATATCATTTTTTTTCAGTTTCCTTAATTCATTTAAAACGCAAAATATGATATCAATTTAAATAGGTGTGAATGTTTATACTGCGAATGAATTGATGTCAAAAAATAATTGTCAATACTCTTGAGATTCGTGGACATGAATAACTCTCGAGGCTATAACTGAATCATGTATTACTGATGTAAAAAGAGACATTAGAGGAGCAATTTTTTAGGATACTATTGTATGTGAGTAGATGTAAAATAATCATTATGAGGAAAATGTGTTTCTGGAAAACCGGAACATGAAAAATGAACTGTATCTTTACTTTGCAATGTATGAATACTGATTCAATTTATATCGAATATTTTAATGATCAACTTGCGCGAATTCTTAATTATTAGAAATTTTTGTGAAAGGAAAATGACGAATTATTGCAGGGTGCATTCTTTGGTTTAACTAGAAAACTAATTAATTGAGAGCCATTATTGGAAATCGGTAATTGTATTGAGTCTGAAACTAGAGGAGAAATAATTATTTAGAATGGTTTTTTTATTTAATCAGGGGATATCATGTATAAACTGACAAGCATGACCCCTGCTGTGGTGAATTTAATTTATGACAATGACGCGTAAAACCACAGACTCCAATAAAATTAAAATATCAAAATTAATTGAACAAACAAAAACGAGCTTCAAAAGTAGTTAATTTATTCGATAAAATGTGGCATGTGTTGTAGCAAACATTTCTCCAAAATTGTTCGCTGACGAGAAGCGATTACAGAAAGCCTCACCGTTTAAATGCTTCCATAAATGAAAATAAACAGAAATTAATGAGCGTTATTACTTTTACGTTTTATAGAAAAAAAATCGGCTGTTGACTGTATTTGATAGAAAAGCAATCCAATATAATAAATGTAAAAACAATATTGTGGAATATTTCCACAGATAACTGCGATGAACTTCAATTATATCATATTAAGAATTTCTTTTAATAACTAGTGTCTATTAACTCATTTTTTTCAATTTCGATTATTTTGTAATAATTCTTTTTGTACAAAATGAAAAAAAAAGAGAATCATCAGCTCTGTATAACGTATCAAAAAAAAAAAAAAAATATACGTAATAACTTCGT